AAAAAAAAAAAAAAAAAAAATTAGGAGATCAAATCATTGTGTTTCAAGTTTCAACACACTACAAGCATAAATGGGTCATAAAGCCTTGATCCAGAAGTACTTTCATTCACAACCGGACATGACATGTCGGATCTTGTCGAAGCAGCTGTTCTTATTATCTCCTGCTCTTGGCAAAACGAATTTGATCAGCAAGCGAAGTTTCCTCTTTCAGTCCCTTTGCCAAGTCCAGGTCAAGTTTCTCCCAGGGCCGTTGATGATCACTGCTTACTTGTTTAATGGACGATTTCTTCTTATGAATCTGTTTGGCGGCAAACAAATGCAAGAACACCGTCAAACAAGACACACGATATATACAGTCAGCAACAATAGAGATTCAGGTGTTTCTCATGCTGAGTCATAGATTTATGAAGAATATCAAATATGCTGCAAAAGATGAAATGCAGAACATTACTCCATAAATATGCATTAATCTGAGAGTGCACTGTTTTATTCCATCAATGAGTAAACTCTGTTGTGTCTCCTTCCACTAAATCCAATTAAAGCAATGCACTTTGCATCACTTGACCCCTCCACTTAAAAATGTTACATCTCTTTTCTTTATACAAATATTTCGCCGCCGTTATCTGTTATTTGTCAGTCCCATTTTTTTCAAACCAGATTGAAAATGATGCCAAAACAAATTAACAAATTCTTCTTTGTCAACGGGATTACGAAATTGATACTTCAGTTGGTTATCACGGCATTTATATACATAATGCATGTATGGGTTTAAACATCAGCTCCACAATATGAAATTTATCCAAAAAAGTTTGTTTGGTAATGATTGATGTTCTTCTCCCCAGACCCAACATTCCGATTCTAGAAGATTATTTTAGGGGAAAACACTCATCTTGAAATGAAGAGCAAAAGAAAGAACAGAACATTGACAACTGCTGCGAAATATTTCTTCCATCCCATAATAATTAGGCCCATTTCTTTTGGCACATTGATTAACAAATGTAAGTTAATGAAACCGGGAAAGTAAAGTTTTTCATATGCTTTTCTCAAATATACCTATTGTTTTGACTTTTGCGATGGAGGGCTAACTCAGTTATCATTAATATGTCATCCTCAAATAATAAATCAATTTATTTACCTTCATTAGTCTCTCCTTGAGTTTCTCCTCACGAAACTCTGCCAACCTCTCTCTTTCTTCATTTGATTTTTGGCTTCTCTTTTTAATTGATCCTCCTCTCAGTCTCGCATTCTCTTCCCTCTCTCTTCTTTTCTGAGCGAGCCGTGCTGTCTTTTCTGCTTTCACATGTGCTGCTCTTAGACGAGCTATCTTTTCGGCCTTTGCCTGTTGTTCAGTCTTTTGAACCCATAGGAGAGTCAATTCTTCTGTAAGTTTGGCATAGCTATCCCAATCAAGTTCTTTCTCATCACTCATTCCCACCTTAGCAGCTTTTGCAATGCTTTCGGCCCACAATTGCATGAATTGCTCCCTCGATCTTTTCCATTTTAGCCGTTTTCCCCATAGTCTTGTGAGAGAAGTGCGTATTCTCGCTTTCGTCAGGTTACTGCACCAAGAGCTACTATAAGATTCAAGCTGAGAGAGCGAAAGATCAGTTTACTAATTATATGCAAGAGCTGTTTCTGGAGAGAATATTAGGAGGCTGCCCTCAGATAATTTGATGGAATTTTTAGTATTCAAGAATAATTAGAGAAAGAGAAGAACAACATGATTCGTCCATTACAAAAGACTCTTAAAACCACAATTATCTCAAGAAAAAGTTTATCATCTCATGAGGCAAAACAAAAACAACAAACTTTGCCGCAAAACCATTTACAGCTCCTGTATCGCAATCAGGCGTCTTGTGCGAATTCATGGGGGTCACTTGTCTTGGGAGCCCCATAAAAAGAAAATGTAAAACCATATTCCTAGGAAAATGTAATTCCAAATTCACGAGTGCCAACTGATCGAAACTATTCAACTTAATCGGGAACCAGAAAATCACAAGAAAATTCATGCTTTGCAGTCTTTAACAACACAAACAGCCAAACAAAGAACGATAGTGTGAACATCTTTTCGATGAGACCGGAAAAGGGATTACCTCATACTACGAGGGGCTTCAGCCATTTTCTTCCTAACCTGTCGAGATTCAGAAACTACGGACATAACTAAGGAGGAACAATGAATTCACATTGAGCCTTTTTTTTTTCGAGAAATGACAAAATAAGAAACAACACAAGTTCTAACGAATTTCAACCTTGGGGTCGCTTAAGGCTTCTTTTGTCCTGCGACTAATTCTCTCGCGAGTCTCTGAATTACAATAAGCCAGAACAACAAAGGGATTAGAATAATCCTTGGCCTTTTTTTCATATGGGATTTACTCCAGAAACAGTAAGCTTTTTACCTTCACTGTGCTTAAGCCCTTTATTCCACGGCACACGCCCTTTGTTTCCGTGAACAAGTTTCATCTTCCTCTTCCCGTCGTCTTCATTGTCGTCGGTCTTTCGCCGGCGGCGGCTGCGCAGCGGCGAGTCATCGTCGTTTACAGTTAGCGGCGCCCCAACTGGTTCAGGATTTACCATCCCCTTACAAGATCCAAGTACCTTCCGCCGCCATGGATGAATGTGCTTGTGCGCTATTGCTGTAGAGGATGAGTAGCACTGTCCAGCACCGAACGAGCTGAAAAGGGCAAGGCCCACGCACGGGCATAGATTGTTCTTCTCAAGAGACGATGCTGGAAAAGTTCTGTGCTGCTCAATCACGTAGCCAGCAAAATTGGGCAGATTTGTACTCGGCGAGTAAAATGTGATCGGCATTGGAGAACCAGAGAGCTAGCTAAGCTGTTTCCTGTGAACGAAACCAACAGAGACCGTGAAATTGTTGCCGAAAGGCTATTTTTATTTTTTATTTTTTTGATCGAAGTGTGTATCTGGGTAGGGTTAGGATCAGGAATTCGAGATTAGGAGTAAGCCCAAACCGAAAAACATACCGTGCAACGGTTTAGTTCTTTTCTTCTTTTTTTAATATGTAAAAGAAAATTGGTTCGATTAAGGCGTTACTATTTACCGCCTCCATATAACTACACATTGTCTCATTTTGGATAGTTTTGCCCTTAACATTTTCTCTAAAAAAATTCTCCTGTCGGACGGCCGTAACCGTGCATGGCCGGTTTTGCCCGTAAGCCGCGCATATTTTTATAATAAAAAAAAATTGTTTGTTATATAATTGTTAGAATTGAGATATTATTATGTTATAAATTAGAATTTATTATTTTATAGTTAGAATTTCAAAATTATTGCTTTCTCTTGCTAGGCGAGTCACCCTAACGCAATCGGCCTTAAGTACTCTCTTGTACTACTAGATGCAGACCACTATGCTACCGCACGCGATCACAGCAGGTCTCGAGAAAAATTGCCGCGCATTTATATGGGGCGGGTCTAACGAACAGAGGAAAATACATCTGGTAGCGTGGTCCGATGTCTGCAAGAACAAGAATGAGGGTGGGTTGGGTCTTAAAGACCTTAGTCGGATGAACAGCGCCCTACTCATGAAAGTGGGCTGACGGCTTTTGACGGATGCGGGGTCTCTATGGGCGCGTGTCCTTATAGCTAAATACGGATTGAATCTATCGGCTAATCATGAGTTGAGTTTTAGACGACATCCCTCAAATCTTATGCGTGCGCTGAAGAAAGTATGGTTGGATGTGCTCAAAGGCATGCGCTGGGTTTTGGGAAATGGTGCAAAAATTAGATTTTGGCTCGACGCGTGGTTAGGTATGGGTGGGCCACTGGTGCGGTTTCTTACTCCTCCAGCGAGTGGAGTAAATGTCGATGCTACTGTGGCCGAGATGGTTGATGAAACAGGCGGCTGGCGTTGGGACAACATGCATGGAATTCTCCCGTCTTCGGTCATCCTTCAAATCGTCGGAACTCTTCCCCCGAGGGTGGATGCCGGAGAAGATCACGTCATATGGGGGATATTCTGGAGATGGCAGATTTTCTACGAGATCTGCATATCTAGCCTTGTCGAATTTCGAGAAAGACAGTGACCAACCTCTTTGGAGGATCATTTGGCGAGCACTTGCACCGCAAAGAGCCCGTGTGCTGGTATGGCTTATCGCCAAAGAGCGTTTACTCACGAATGTTGAACGCGTGCGAAGGCATATGACGATTTCAGCGGCCTGTGATTTGTGCGGGGACCCGGAATCGATTCTTCACGTTACCCGAGATTGTTCGGCGGTCAGGGAGCTATGGAAAAGTGTGTTGTCGGCGGCACATAGCCCGTCCTTCTACCAGCAGCCACTTAAACAATGGCTCCGATCGAATTTATCGATTCTGCGATTGTGAAGTTGTGCGAATTGGGCCAGCGTGTTTGCCATTGCTCTTTGGCGGTCGTGAAAGTGGCGTAACGAGCGAATTTTCAACCACAAATCAGTAAGTGTCGAGGCTCGTCGAATGGAGGTGTTGCGCCTAGTGGATGACTATACTAGAGCAACGACTGATTATGCAAGAGTCGGGGCTGCAACTTATATTACACAAATAATCCGTTGGGATCCCCCTGGCTCCGGATGGGTGAAAGTTAACACGGATGGAGCTACGAATAGGTTGACAGGGATGAGTTGTGCGGGCGGCCTAGTTCGGGACGAAAAGGGCTGCTGGATCGCGGGATTTCTATTTAATATTGGCTTATGCACTATCACGGGTGCCGAGCTTTGGGGCCTATTACAAGGGTTACAACTAGTGTGGGAGGTAGGCTATCGACAAGTCATTGTCGATATTGATAGCCTTTGTGCGCATAAAATGGTTTGTGGGGTGGGTATGGACACCATGAAGCATTGGTTACGACCATTCGGAGGCTAGTCCAATGAGAATGGAATGTTAAGGTCCAGCATGTTCACAGGGAAGCTAACCATACGGCTGATCACATGGCGGGCCTGGCCGAGTTCTATCCTTTGGGCTTACACCGCGTCCTTCC